GTTCTATAATACATCAACTGTATATTGTATTGTGTGTTCACCACCGCCACAATAAGAATATTTAAAGGTAATAGGCCAAACATTGTAAACAAAAAGAAAAAAGAACAAAAACACCTCTTGTAGGAAGTGAACAGCCCAGGCTACTCACTTCCTACCCCACCGCCGAGGCCCAGCCAGGGGGTGGACTCCCTTCCAGGGAGGGACTCTCCCCGTGGGGCTCCCCCCTCTCCCCCCCGCAGCAATCCCCTGGAGAGGCCTGGAGGTGCTGACTGGGTAGGCACTGGCCCTTCCCTGAGGGGCTGAGCTGATACCCCCTCAGGGGAGCATGTGATCAGCAGCCAAAGTAAAACTACTTCAAAAGGAAAGCAACAGCCCTGGCCAGTTTGGCTCAGTGGATAGAGCATCAGCCTGCAGACCAAAGGGTCCCGGGTTCGATTCCTGTCAAGGGCATGTACCTTGGTTGCAGGCTCCTCCCTGGCCGGGGCCCTGGTCAGGGCTTGTATGATTGGCAACCAATCCATGTGTTTCTCTCACAGCGATGTTTCTCTCTGTCTTTCCCTCTCTCTTCTACTCTCTCGGAAAATCAGTGGGAAAATATCCTTGGCTAAGGATTAAAAAAAGCAAAAAAAAAAAAAGCTGATATTTGCAACTTGGTGGAAATTACATCACCCTGCAATTGCTTCATTGAGATGAAAAGGTTTAAACGTCCATTTCAATGTGTGCAAAGGGGCACACACACGGCTTTTCAACATCACTTTAGGGGCCACTTGAGCCAAAAGAAATCCCCCGGATTCTAGCTGATTCTAGCCCTGCAGCGAGGGCTGCCTGGTCCAGGCCTCTCGGTGGCTCACACTCTGAACCTGTGCCCCGGTCCACCCTCTCCGGGAGGCACGGGGACAGGGTCCTGGGGGAGCTGAGGCGTGTGTATAGGGGTGTTTCCGCAGGAGGAGTTGTATGAGGGGGAGGTCCCTTGGCAGGTTTTTGGGGTTGGCAGGGGGAGACTCTTGAAATTCCGCTGACAAGTGATGCTTGGGAAGAAGCATTCCATCTTCCTGCTCCCCCGGAACACATCCTCCTCCACAGGGGGTCCCAGGCATCCTGAAGGTCAGGAAGAGGAAGAAGGTGCTGAGGGCCACACAGGGAGGGGCTCCCAGTTTTGAGGAGGGCTGACCTTGCTTCCTACTGGATGGGAAACAAAAGAACCTCATTTCCTCTCAGAAACTAAAGGTGGCAAAGCCACGCTGTGGAGTACTATTCAGCCTTAAAAAGGAACGACATTCTGATGGTACATGCTACCCGCGGATGAGCCCTGAAAACATGATGCTACATGAAGCAAACTAGGCACAAACTGTCAGGTTCCGCCTACATGGCACTTAGAACAGTCAGATTGCTGGGCACAAAGGGGAACAGGTGAGTGCCGCTATGAGAGGTTGATGGGAGGGAGTCCCGGAGAACTGGTGTTCAGTGAGGACAGTTTCAGTGTGGGATGGTAAAAGGTTCAAGAGATGGATGCTGGTGATGGCTGTGAATGTACTTAATGCCAGTGAATTGCACACCTGAAAATGTAGGTATACTTCACCACAACAAAAAAAATAAGCTACATCTAACAAAGTCTTTAGAGCTAACTTCCAGTTTACAGTAAACACAGGGGTTAGAAAAACAAGTTAAATTGCCGTATGAAGTTACAATCCGATAAGTATACAATGTGGGGTATGTGGGACATTTTACAAGAAAATTGATCTGAATATCACCAGGCGGGGTGAGGGAGGGGAGAGGAGGGGCTGTTCCAATGAAAAGAGACTAAAAAAAAAATACAATAACCAAATGTAATGCATGGACTTCATTGGGCCCTGCATGAAAAACGAACAAACTTTGCCCTGGCCGGGTGGCCCAGTGGGTTGGAACTTCGTCCTATCCAGCAAAAGGTTGTGGGTCCCATTCCTGGTCAGGGCACATTCTCAGGTTGAGGGTTTGATCCCCAGCGCATAGGGAAGGCAACCGATCCGTGCCTCTCTCTCTAAAAAGCAAAAACATACCCTCGGGTGAGGATTAAAGAAAAGGATGAACTAACATAAAAGACACATCGGGAAGGCCTGGGAAAAACTGAGTGAGGACTGGGTGCTGGGTGGGATCAGGGAATCAGTGAGTCATCTCAGGCCTGGACTTGGTGTTGCGGCTGTTGGCAGAAATCCCTTATTTTGAGGAGGTACCAGACCAAGCATCTAGGGCAGTGGTTCTCAACCTGTGGGTCACGACCCCTTTGGGGATCGAAGGGCCCTTTCACAGGGATCGCCTAAGACCATCGGAAAACACATACATAATCACATACTGTTTTTGTGATGAATCACTATGCTTTAATGATGTGCAATTTGTAACAATGAAATTGGGGGTCACCACAACATGAGGAACTACATTAAAGGGTCGCGGCATTAGGAAGGTTGAGAACCACTGGTCTAGGGGCGAGGGGTCTTCTCTGCAGTTCACTTTCAAACGACCCAGGAGGGGCCAAAGCAGATTCCGCAGAAAGGAGACTGCTGCACCCCAGGCGCTGGGTGGATACTGTAGAATCTTTCATTTTTCTGTTTTCTGAGAACATTCCTTTTTTTTTCTTTCTTTCTTTCTGAGAACCTTCCTAACAAAAAGCTGGGAAGGAAAGTTCTAGCTGCGCGGTTTAAGGGGCTGGGTGACCCTGGGCTCTCCTTGACTCCCAGGCCGGAGTGTCCCCCCCTAAGGGCAGAGCCGATACCTGCCCGGCGCGGTGGTCCGCTTGCGGGCGAATCACCGGGCCCAGGGGCGGGTGAGGTCGCGAGCGATCGGTGGCGGTGCCGCGCGGGCAGAGTGATGGATGGGAGGGAGCACTTGCCCGGGCCTGTGTCCTGGCCACCAGCACCGGATGAGAAAGAGCGGGACTGGGGGGGC